TATGACCCCTTTAAAGACGTAATCAAACAGACGATGAACACTAACAGTAATTATTATATGATGCAATCAAACTTCTAGCAAAATGTGGTCGTTCTGTATGTTGTTTCAGGGTTGGCATCATCTGAGGTCCTCTGAGGGGTTGGCATCATCTCTTCTCAGGTGTTCTGGATCCAGACTGAAGCTTGTGTAAAACCGTGGCAAAAACAGAGAAACAAATAGAGACATAATTAGAGACATAATTAGCGTAGCTGCTGTTCCAACCAAGCAAAATTGATTTGTTTAACCCAAGCTAAAGAATAATAATGTGCATTTGATCAGATATAACTGAAGTACAAGATTATGAGATGCATTATTTGAATGCGTGGCAAAAGAGATGTCTTTAATCTAGATTTAATCTAATCTGTGTCTGAACCCCGAACGTTATCAGGAAGGCTATTCCAGAGTTTGGGAGCCAAATGCGAAAAAGCTCTACCTCCTTTAGTGGACTTTGCTATCCTAGGAACTACCAAAAGTCCAGAGTTTTGTGACCTTACGGAGCGTGATGGATTGCAGCATGGTAGAAGACTAGTTAGGTACGCAGGAGTTAACCCATTAAGGGCCTTATAGGTAAGTAATAATATTTTGTAAATGCCATCATGTTTTGTCCATACAATGGAAGTCAACTATAACCAAAATGGTTAGGGTCCCAACAGTCTTCAGAATATCATCTTCTGTGTTCTGCTGAAGAAGAAAAAAGTAATTGAGGTTGGTAACGACAGGAGGGTGAATAAATGATGATAGATTTTTTTTGTTTATACAATTGAAGTCAGTGGTAACTAAACTGTATTCAAAATTCTTCAAAATATCATCTTCTGTGTTCTGCAGAAGTCAGTCAGTCATACAAGTTTTTAACAAAATAATGGTGCGTACAAGATGATAGAATTAACTTTTTTTTTTTGTTGGATGAATGATCCCTTTAATGATGCAACCAGAAAATATTTCAACTGGTATTGCCCAGACTATCCACAACTGCAGCAGTTCTATCTTAAATTTTCAAAACGATTCAAGAGTCTATAATTAGGAAGGGCATATTCTTTATTATTGATTAGGGGGAAAAGAACAAATAATTTATGCATGTTTAAAAAAGCATTAGGTTTGTTACCAACTTAATTGAATGTCTACTCTTTTGTTACAAATATTATTAAACTCATTTTTTCTGACATCATTAATTTGCAGCAGCGGGGATGCTTTCAAAATTATGTATATAAACAGGCCTATTATTCAAGAAAATCAAAAGAGTAGAAACATTTTACACAATAGTAAAATCACAAGGATTTGTAATGCGTACAAGTCAAAATCAAAGTATGATATGGCATATTAGGATCTTGCTCATAAATATATCAAGTAAGAACATGGCTCCAAACCATCCAGTGCATTTGACATACCATAAAATAACTACAAAAGACTATCCAAACTCCTATGCAGAACCTTCTATCATTAATGTACAGGAGAAAACAATTTCACAGTTCTCATGTGCACTAGTGTTTGCCCATTCAAATCCTGTACACAAGGCAATATATTCTTCAATAGCTCATCAGATCATATCAAATTTAAAACCCAATCTTTTCATTGATTTAAATAAAAATGGCAGTCCTTTTGCAATACTCCTTCCCTCAGTATTAATTTTCAAAATAACACCATTTCTTCAAAAGGCAGACTCAGACTTACTGAACGAAATCTAGAATGAAAAAAAAAATTAAATAAATAAAAGGGACGGGTATTATGTTATACCTGGTGAGTCTACCTTTAAATCACATGAGTTATGTTACCCCGAAAGGCACAATAAATAAATTAGACAGTGAATTGATCAATGCTGGGGGGGAAAATTAGACCTACATT